GCTTTAGACTGTATATCGTTGTTGTAGTAGTAGTAGTAGTAGTAGTAGTAGTAGTAGCAGTAGTAGTAGTAGTAGTAGTAGTAGCAGTAGTAGTAGTAGTAGTAGTAGTAGTAGTAGTAGTAGTAGTAGTAGTTAACTGCAATGGTAACCACCCCGCCACCGATCACAGGGTCTGCCCACCGTCCATAACCTCATTCGACGCGACCTAGGGTCGCTAGCTAGGCTATATTAGCCAAGGCCAACGAGATGGGCCACTGTAACATTCGAATTAATCAGATAAATATGGGTAGGAGCACGGTAGTTTTCCAAGAAGCCATAGATAGCTTAGATGCCGATATTATAGCCATACAGGAGCCGCCGAAGCTAGCGCAATGCAGAAGGATCCTGGATACGGCTAAAGGTGACTGGTTGCTCATCTCTGCTCAAAGTCCTAGTCGCACTGCTATACTCGTCAAGAAGTCGGTACCGTATAGAGTAGTACGTGGTCTGGTCGACTCTAGGGACTGGGTGATGATTGACATTCCTTGCAAGGGCACTCGCTACTCAGCTATCCGCCTAATTTCTGGATATTGTCCCTCGGATGGGCGCATCACTATGGAGCAGTGCCTTGCCGGTCTGTCAGACTTCATCGATGGCCATCACGTTATCCTCTGCTGCGATAGTAATGCGTGGAACAACTCGTGGGGCACACCGCCAAACGGGGGGTCCTATCAGCGCTGTCGAGGCCAAGTCCTCGAGGAATGGGCTGACGGCCTCAACTTGCAGCTCCTCAATGACCCAGACTCGCCACCAACATTTCGAAGTCACAGGACCGCTAGCGATGGCCCCGAGATCACGTCTCATACTGATGTCACACTGTGCTCCGAGCGGCTATCTCGAGATATTAGTTGGTGGAAGGTTGATTGGTCACACCGCATGTCAATGGTTTCCGATCACGCCACAATAACGACGGTCCTATCTTCTCGCCTTCAATGCCCCACTGCGCCTCCTTGGCATGGGAAAAGTTGGTTTGATGAGGAATTGTTTGCAGAGAGAATCTCCTCAGCTGTCCACGACTTCGCTGGCGTCAAGACCTCCATTGCACTCGAGTGGGATCAGGTCGTTGCTGTCACGGACGAATTATGCGAGACCTTAGCTCAAACTGTACAAGAATGCCGCCGTAGCTGCTACGGCGTAGCAAGCGAGCACGCCCGGAGTGGCCAGTATGGTGGACTCGTGAGCTGTATCTGCTTCGTGACAGAGTACGCTGGCTTCAGAAGAGATTGTAGAGGATACGAGGATCTTCGTATGTTCGTCCTGAACTACGTCCCCCTCTCGGAACCTCCGGAACTTGAAGCGGAAGCGCTGCCGGGAGCATGCTAGAGCCACACTTTCCCGGATAGAGGATCCACAGCGGGCCATAGCCACTCTGAAACTCGCGGCTGAGCGTGAGCCACTCATCTTTTGCAGCATTCTGTCCGCCTTCATTCATCATCGCCTGGTACCCCAGAGGCTGAAAAGTGGTTTCGTGGTGACGCTGCCTTGTGGAATAAAGTGGCCAGAGACATCATATAGTACATATCGTAGTAGTAGTAAATTGGAAGGACTGACTACCATATTGGATGGGTATTATAACTTGGAGTAGTCTTTGAATAGAATTAACTTATTAGGATAAGTTATACGCAGTGTTGGAAGATAGTTCTCTCTCCTCAGCTGAGCTCAGGAGTGTCATTGCTTATTGTGAAAGTTTATATATGAATTCGGATAGGAATGTTCAGAAACCAACAATCATTCTCCCTCACCAGATGCAAGTTGTGTTCGTGTTACCCTGTAACACTTATTTTTCATAACACTGTTACACAACAACATGAGATTCTTGAGTTACAAGCCCTCAGACTGTTTCGTGAAAAGTTGTAAGTAAAAGTGGAGGTTCGCAAATAACGGATAAGTGCAAGAAGAATACCTCTTCGAGGAGGGGTTCTCGCATAATAAGTGCGAGCCGCTTGTATACGAATGCCTTTCAATGAATCGCGATCATACCAAAATCACTGATCTCTGAATCTCATGGCTGGTTAGCGAGACTTGAGCGTCGCAACACACATATACTCGAGTATGTTGCATTCACCTGAAAAGGACGACTTCGCGGATGTCATGATGAGTGTTGAAGCTCACCGTAACCAGAAACTCCTCGCTTCAAATAGAAGTATCCATCTTGGCCCCAAGAGGATCCCCAAGAATTTCTGATAACAAAGTAACTGACAACAAGACAAAAAATACAGTAAACATTCACATTGTGTCATCTTACTCTTCTCCATTCTCGGTGCCATAACCAACCGCCACAACACCGTGATCAATAGTTCCATGACAGGTTTCTAAAACCCGTAATATTCTGTACACATCAGCATCGGGCGCAAATCTTACTAGACGAATACACTCCGGATTGGTAGAAGCGGAAATCGGGGTCCGAGGCATACATGGCGATGGAGACCGGAGCATCCGCCAGCGCTTTCATCAAGCCCTGCTCAGTCTGATCTAGCATGTGAAAGCCGGTAACCTCGCCAGCCTGTAAAAAGGATGATAGTACTGTTTAATGCAGATCTTACCGGGATGCCGTCGGACCGTTTCTCGAGAGAGACTTGACAGGCGTTGTTTTTAGCAATATAAGGATAGGTCGACTCTTGATCGAGGCCAGCTGACTTTATGTATGTATAAGCATTCTCCATGAGTCCTCCGCTACAACCCCTGAGAGAAAAATAGTGTGAAAGTTTCCTACTGGAAGTATACACAAGAGAATGCAATGAGAAAATGCAAGAGAATATGACATCAATATGCAATGAGGAACACATGCATGTGGTGCCACTTACTCATTCCCATAGCTGGAACTACAATCGATAAGCTGCTGCTCGGAGAGTGACAAGAGCTTACCCGTAGCGATGGCATACTGCGCCTCAAGAGCACCTGAAAATGGCACACACGAAAATCAAAGGCACACACATGCATGTCCAAGGGATTTACCGGTCGCGGAGAAAGCCCAGCAGCTTCCACAGGGCCCTTGATCCTTAATCGGGGTTAATACACCCTTACTTCTCCAATCCACTGAGGTTAGTAGCTGTGTGGTATCAGCTGACACAAAGAGGCTCAAGCTGGCATGTTCAGCTGGTCCTACCTTTAACAACCAACTTATCATCCCTCTTCATACTCATCTTCGAGCTTGTGCCGAGCTTCAGGGCGGCGAACTCCTCGTGTGTGAGGTCCGCATGCTCATTGACGCCCAGCTTGTAAGACAGATCTGCGCAGCTCGGCACTCGGCTCCCGGCGGACATGATGTTACTCACTTTTAGCGTTGACTTGTTCGATGTAATGGAGGTGGGCTCGAAAGATGGCATTCCTCTTGATTTCTTCCTCCTTGGACTCGTAATTCTTACCGAACCTGCAAAAACATCATAATACCTGATTATTCTGATTATCACCTTACTTATGCTGGAAACCCATAAAAGCCAAATCCACCGTTCCCTCCTCCAAGCACTTGACCAAAGGTAGGATTGAGAGAAGAAGAAATGAGATGATTATCATCATGTGAGGAGCAAAGCCTGCGGATAGTATTGCAGGAGTTGGACTTGGTATGCTTCCTAAGGGTGTTGTGCAACTCGAAGTTTGTAGTCGATGTGACGTGAAACAAAGAAAACTTCCCAGCGGTATAGCGTGTTTTCCGTCACGGAAAAATCGATCGATTCACGTGAACGCCACCTTAGTGCACAAATTACAGCAACCTGAAGATGTGGTCGTCCCTCCCAGGTGACTCAGCGAGACGAAAAGCGAAGGAGAGAGAAAGAGCCGGTGGTGATATCAGACAATCGCACCACACATGCCGCGGCAGTCGCAATCGGTAGTATCCCAAGACGTACAGTTTAAACTCAGCAGTTTTCAACTCGAGCACTTTTTTCTCATACAGCGCTCGGTGTAACACGCAATTGAGACGGCGTGATCGTGAACGCGTGATCGTGTGGGCCGCTGGCTTCCCCTCACATGGGTCTTATCGTGTCACTGTGCAACCTACGCCATTACTAGAATCCCGGGTCATTCTCTGCATATCTCACTTGCTTATCTTAGCTCTGCGAATCCCATGAAGCCAGTGCTGTAGTAATACTGCATGGAGCAATTGTGGGTATGAAGCGACGAGGAAGCTCAGCGTCCTCGGTACAGCGTGAAGTCGCTTCACGCTGTCCACATCTAGGGGAGTCACTCACGAATTCAATGATTTCCCATTAAGTTAATGGAAAATCATTTAATCGGAGGATGATAGGTTAATGGCATTAACCTAAGGGTGTTACATTTCTATATTGCACTTTTTTTGCACTTCGCAAATTGCACAATTTGCGCAAGTGCAATATCACTGCGTGCAAGATAGGCAATTTAGAAAAATTTTTGGTTTTGGGCCTAAAAATCATGGAAATCAACAGAAAATTTGATTCAAAATCAGATCTTTTTGGACAGTAAACGACGGTCAGCATGGTCTCCGTGTATAATGGAAGAATCTCCTGCTATAAAGTTAGTTTGGGCTGCGCTACAGACGCGGCAGCCGCTGCAGTGCGCGCTTTGATAAATTTCACTAGCACCCCGCATCGCTTCGCTCCGGGGAAGCCGTAACTCCTACGGAGGGGGGTTATAGTGCATTTTCTGCATAGTTTTTGCACTTGGTTTGTTATGAAAGTAAAGCGTGGACTCCACAGTGTGGAGTAATAGGTGAAGGTTTCGTTTGGGTAAAAGTGTACTCCCATACGATACGATCGCCAAATGGTTGCAAATTTGCACGAACCACTCCACAACATAGGGCGTATAGCCGATCCTGCGGTAACATAGGAATCATTTACTGCTATACCTTGAGCTTATCTACTTCAGGGGCTTTGCGAGTTGCCGCTTAACAGCAGTCGCCGAGAGGAAGAAGTCTAAGCGTTTCTCGAGGGCAAGAAGCGAGACCTTCCAACACATACAGATGCCGAGTTTCAACATCCCTGCCATACTTCCAGGTTGATGATGCGATGAAACAGGAAACATCTTTCCGATGACCATAGAGCTCTCTAGAGATCATCCTCTGTGCAGCATAGAGCAGCTCACCTGCGGCACGCCTTCTCCTTGAGCATCATCGGCTTGTATCGGGGGACCTTTGCCAGAGGTATCCGCCTCGGAGGAGGCATCCTGGAGAAGTATCGAGCCTCCTCTCGCAGCCGCACAAAACGTCTCACAGGATCTTCGAACAGCCCTAAAGGACCCATCTACCTCCATCACAATCCCATCGAGCTCTCACCGGTATTTCGAGGCTTCCCCCGTTGTTTATGATGCTTCATAAAACCTGGAGGACTTAGAAACCGAGCAGCCGTTATATAGCCCTTCGAACCGCCGAGAGCATTGGCCGCGACACAACTACTCCCAACCCATATTAGAGGTCCAATTCAAATGGCTCCATCGCAAGATTGAATCATTCTCACAAGATCCGTCTCCTGCTACTAGCCGCAGTGCTACACGATCCGCTCATAGATGCAGCCCGATTCCCTTATCTTCAGCGGCTAACTACACAAGAAGGAACCGCTCGGTCTACACACAAGAATCTGTACAGTGTCTTTAAGGCACTGTTTTACCGCGAGGAAGTGGCTTCGAGCAGCATTGATGTTGCATGTGGTTACCACATTGTGGTAGCGGCCGAATCTGAGATATAGTGTCCGAGATTAAATGTGCCCGGCTTACGAATGTTCGGATCAGAGGTGACCACCATGACGAACGTGTTGGGAGCAAAGCGATTAATTATGGCCTGAAAGTCGGAGTTGGAGAGGTCCAAAGAGTTCAAAGCAGCGTGGTGCTTGCTGAGTTCAAGATTCGTTTAGCGTTGGAACAACTCCAAGGCTGGCTCACTTGGCCCTCAGTTTGAACTGCTTCACAATATTTGATATCCTCTCGAACCGATGCGGGTCGGTCATGTGCTCCGCATTGTGATTGACAAAGACCAGGAAATTCCTGGCAGGAACGTAGACTCCTCAGACAAGACCACCTGACACTCCCATAGGCTTCCACATCGCGTACTCTCCGCCGACCTCGTCAGCTTCCACAGCACATGCGAGATTGGCAGGCTCTCTCTGCAGCTCTTCCATGTCGGGAATCAACGAATGAGCGCTCTCCCATCAAGCTCTGACCACCACACAAATTATAATATCTCTCTATCACCACACTTACCGATAGAGTGTCTCGTCCTAGATGCTTGCCTAGAAGATCTGAGTAGTTATACCAGCGAAATATGGCGGGAGAAGCTCAGAGTAACTGATGACAGCAAAACCCGTCGTGGGAGATTCTCAAGTTGGAACGACTACTACTATTTGAAGCGAGCCTCCCGCTCGTTCTCCGGCACGAGGTCAAATTTGTGGAGGAGGACGTGAACCTGGACCGTTAGCTTCATCATTGGTGTTTCACGGTGAAACTTCCACCCGTAATATGAAAAACACGAGTGAGAAATACATTCCAAGACTACTACATAACGCGAATATCGCGTTCTTAATCGAGATTACTCCACTTCCCGTAAAATGGGTGAAACTCTATTATTACGTTCAACTACTAGCTCGCGACCGAGGGCCTTCTCGTTCTGATTGTCGAAGTTTGTTTCCTCGAGACCATCGGATGGATTGAAATTGAGAATTTCGGAATTTCCGGATTTTCTATCGGGAAATTCAACTTCCCGATAGAGTCGCTACTGCATTGCGGGTAATGTGGTCCTTCTGGCTCTCGAAATAGTTCTCCATGAAGACGTCCGGTGCTCCGTAGTCCCACAAGGGCAAGGTCACATTGCCGAGGAACCTCAGATGACTGTGCTCCACCTAAGGCGAGATCGACCTCAGAGAACAACTGAGGGAAGATACGCCTCATTAACTGGTTGGTCGGATGCAGCCTATCGGTCTCCCGAGCTGAAAATCACAGACAGGATAAAGCGTCGCTGACCATCGCGAGGAATTAACAAAGTTGGAGGCCTGGAAGGGGCTTCTCGTAGTTCTAAGGTAATTTGCGAAGATGATGGACCACATGCTGGTCTTGCCCGCTCCTGCTCGTTCCATGAACAGGACCTCTTTCCCACTCGAGCTTGCACTGAGATTGTTGATCAGAGAGACCAATTACCTGTTGAATCTTGGCAAATAGTCATGAGAGGAACCGCGAGCCCAAAACTCTGCATCGTAGGGCGTGAGAATTTAGCGTCGACGACTCGAGACTCCCAAGACGAGAGTGTAGGATTGGACCCCGAGCCGTCATTCAGCAAAGGCTGGGTTTCCAAGTGTGCGCGAGATTGCCAATCAGTCTACGTCAGCGTTGCCACTAGTCTCAGATCAGTAGTCTTATTGTCTTGTATGTACCGGCAAGTGTCGGCAAGTGTGACGCCTGATGAGATCAGAAAGTTGACTCAATCAGTCGATGACAGACTGGAACGTGTCCTGACATGTCGTGGTGACGTGATGAAGTTAATCAAGGTTGCTCATTTTCCACTAGATAGGCCCAGCTAGTCGAGTTGCTTATTAAACGCGAACGTTGAAAAGTGCACAAGAAACTCCCACGCATTGTAGACACGAAACGGCCGAGAGATCTATAAATACAGGTATATCTTCACACCGAATACCAATATCAACAATAGCTTATTGTATCGTTAAGAAACGCAACTTTGATGTATGAAAAGTCTCAGGCTGAGACTCTCAGCGCCCATCCATTTGTTGGCTCCTCAGTTCGAAATCAATCGCAAGACTAAGCAGACTGAGACAAAATTGAAACACTCATCGTCCGCCTACGAGATATCCCCTGTTTTCAGAAGATAAGGTATCATCTGTTGTCAGATGAAAGTCGTTGTTAGGGCGTACGCGCTGGCATTGCCGTTGTGGTCTACAATATTTCGAAAGATTCATTGGCTGTACCCACGTACTCTCCAGCCGAAGTCTGTGCTTTGAGCTCTACCCGAGCATGGATACCAGGCGTGAAGTTAGAAGAGCGGGAGTCTCAGGGCCTTCCCTCGGCATTTGAGGTCATCAACCACGCATCTAATAAAATTCCTTTTCAGCCTGTTGCTCCAGCGTTGTTGCCGCCAACGGCGGATACCACGAGGAGCTTCACGATGTTGCTTTAACATTGTGATCAACAAACTGGTGCTGTAGAAAGGCGGTAACGGAATGTCATTATTCTCATGTTCACTGTGTCTATTGAAGGTCTCAGTGAATGTTGCGAGATAGAAGCCCGATTTCATTTTCAGGACGAGTTCTGATTCCGATAGAAGCCGCCCCCTGACTTTTTAATACAAGGCGACTCCAAAAGCGAAGAAAAAAGGTAAAGTTCATAAACAATCGTACCAGTGATAAGGCGAAGGGGGTAATGTGTTTCCGCGTACAGCGCGCAATGAAGGGGTGCGAATGCAAGAATCGTCTATTGTACTCACGATGAGAGACGATGGCCACTCAGCTGATGTCCTGAGGACATTGTCCTCCCGTTGATGGGATCAATACAAGGATCTATGAAAAAGACTTGGGTCTGCGTATAACAGTATCACGCAGACGTACAGGAAATAAGGTAAAGCGTCGAAAAGATTATTGATCCGTTTACCAGTAGGCTTTGTCTACTACGTAACTTTCGTAACGGAAGCAAAAGCGAGAGAGAGACGGTTCACATGACTGAGCTGCAGAGCGTTGATAATATTCATGAAAACTCAATGAAATGACTACGAATACTTTAACACTCGAGGAGTCGACGTCACCATATCGCCTGAAAAGGCTTGTAGAACTGGAGACAAACCGTTCAGAGTCACTCGACATACCCGCATAATAATAGGCTAATATGAAAAATAAAATAAAGACCAACAGATATCTGAATAGTGGTAGACAAAGCGACTGGTACGCTACGAGTTCCACTGACGAAAAAATACCAACTAATGGGAAGAAAGTTCTTTGTGTATTAATCTCAACGGGGTACCCTCTACCCAAACAGTCGGGTGGTCGAACTTACTATCGTACTCTATGTCGGACAAGTCACCTCGCTTCAGAGAGTTGTACGCCGGGCATTTGACAACAAAGCTTCTCACGAAGGCGGTCCACTTAGGATCTGGGATCCAGGTTCCCGGAGTCGTAGTAGGTATTTTGTAGAGCTGATCAGCCTCCTTAAGGACATCAAAGGTCACCCTGGTTGGTCTGATACCAAGCCCACAAAAGAACATAATCTCTACTGTTTGAGCATTGTTTGAGAATGTATACTTCAAATCCAGATAAGGTTTAGGCAAGTACGCGGTATATGAACCTTCGGGATCTCTGGATAAGGCGAGACCGACGAGTATGAGTTGACGAAGGCAGCCGAACATGGATTCGTTCAAGTAAGCTACCATAAACAATCTTATAATACTACTCTATACCAGGGATACAATCCAGTGCGTCGTACAATTACACTCAGAAGCCTAGCCCGCTCTCTGCGACACCACAATAGATCGGAGATGCGGAGGACATGGAGCACCTCCGACGTTCAATATTACGAAACGTAGCGAGTCCGCACGACACGTCACGTGTCACACGTGAGTGCACCAAACTGTACAGGTCATGGGTAATATACGCACACATGTCTTGACAGTGTCAGGAGTCGTGATCGGATAATCCATGACTTGCAAATGCGCCAAAGATCATATGTGGCCAGGACGGCATGGTGGGAACTGTGTTTTACTTGTTGTACACCGATACGGGCCCAGCGCATATCATCCGGGTCGGGTGGGTGTGGTTAAAGCACATCAGGCCAGTAGTGCATTGTTGCTCCACATGGAACCAAGGGATTGACAGGCTAACTTCCACGGGATTGTCGCACACGCATCTTGCACGCATGCTTGCGTATGCACGTGACGTGCAGAGCGTGTGCTCTGCGTTCCAGTTTTGCATACTCTCTCGTTACAGAGGTGATTTTACTACCGCAATGCTCCGCTAAACTTGCAAGAATAAAACAGGTTTTGTCTGTTGACCAAACTGAAATGAATATAAGAATGTCAGCTCTAGCCGAGAGAGTGACCCTTCAACTGTCTGCGTCTGCGTCATAGCATGTCTAAGCGGCTACCGTTTTAGCTTGTGGCCGCTATTGGTTCCTACTTGTGTGACAACACACGAGTGTGCTTGTGTGTACGTACACAATAGGGCGAGCGACATCAGAACCCGCACGCACAGGAGAACGAGGCTGCACTTGTTTGGAGCTCCTGTAGAGCGTGGGCCCACGAGAGTATCAGGACGATTGCGTGACTGCCCTTCTGCACGCTCCTTCCCTAAGTGAACCTATAACCATAACCCATCCACCCGTTAACGACGAGCTTGCCATTTTCTGGACCTAAGTCCATCATCACGGATTACTCTACTACGGTTTCGTTGGATGCTTGGATTTGTTGTAGACCTGTGTGAGCGAGACTCTCCTAGGGATTTAAGGCGAGCGAGAATCACAGTGGTTGATGATCCTAACCGTTTCAGGCGAGCGAGATTTACAACTGATAACCTTTGTGCGTAGAAGCTAGATTACGTTGGTATAAGCACTTGTGGAGTGCTCCACTTATTGCTTAAGTGTATCTGTATTACTTTGAGGCTATATCCGTGAGGTAATTAATCACTGTATTGATAAACCTAACCCATTATCTGTAGCGAGACGGGTATTGAGTTATTATAGTACTTGGTTCGGCACAGGGAGCCCGCGCAGTACATGAACCTAAGAGTCAAGCAACAAATAGTAGCAGCTCCTTGTTTATCTGATTGGGCCTGGTCTGGTCCTCTTTTGGTGCGTTTACACTCTGAATCTCTAGAGAGTTTGTGCTACAGAAGACAGCTACCAACGTCATTGAGAACGGAGGAAATGGTTATGACTATATTGAACGACGGTGCTACTGTTAGGGATGACAATGAGTTTACTCTTTATCGGGTGGAGTAACGTTCTTTAAATGATGTTAAATCTTGAATCTCGGCCAATGAAGAAGAGGAAGAGCTCCTGCTTGATCCCGTGCCTCAAGATAATGAAGAAGGTTATATGGGAGAGGAAGCAAGAGAAGACGGTGCTTCCTTCGTAGAAGATCCTTCAATTAAGCGTCGTTATGGAATACGGGAGCCTGCGTCAAAACGTAGCCACTGTGAAGCACTCTTCCTCACAGACTGCCAGATCAACTGTTATCGCCTGCATGAGAATGTGCAACCCTCTGGTCAAAGGCCTGAGAGATCAAGAACCCGAACTAAGGAATTGGTTTCAGTACCACAAGGTCAAGCTCAAGCATGTAGTTACTAATCTTTTACAGTGCTGATGCTGTTACTCATGGAGTTTGTCATGATGTAGTGACCTCAGCTGATATCTGTTATGTAGCCAATTGTTGGGTAGATGCAGATTGCATCGGTGAAGCCCCTTGGGGCCCTACGGTCTTCTCTTACTTCAAATATGAAGAAGTCGAAGACCTTGACGAAGATGACATTAAGATCGTGAAGGAACTGCCCAAGGGACTAGACCCCTATATTGGTGAAGATCATGATGAGATCTGTATTCTACGCCTCGAAGGTGAATCTGATGATGATTCCTTCGATCTGGTAATCGCCAGGCATCGTTACTGGATTCCAGTAACTCGAAGGTATTCGTCGTTGGACGACTCGGGCTATCAATACAAAATATGAGCCCGCTCTTATCAAGATAGCTGGATTAGTTTGGTTAAATTCAAACAGTCTGACTCTATCGAGATACGTGGTATTCGGTCTGTGCTTGAGGGCACAAGTGAGGCTCCTTGCCAAATATCTGGCAAGAAACGACGTCATATTTCAGCCTCTCTTATTATCTGCCCCAAAACTGACGTTGTGGTTGGAAAAGTCGTCAAGGCCGTTCTGCTAACATGGTCAATCAAGTGGTTATCCCGTCGGATGGCTCTTTGGTGAACCTACTTGGTAGCCGATAAAAAAACTTGGTGGTCACGAGCATAGTGATACCTGCGAATGCAATGTTCGCATACGTATAAGATACCTTGATGGCATCAAGATTTCAAGGCTAAATCTCATGCCTTGCAAGTTGCAAGTTGCAACAAATAATCTGGATCTCTATTGGTTCTGCTCAGCTCATATGGATCGCGTTTG